CCTGGTGGCACAGTGGTTAAGAGCCCGGCAGCTCACCGAAAGACCGGGAGTTCGAATCCACCAGCTGCTCCTTGGAAACCCTATGGGGCAGTTCTACTCTGTCCTGTAGGGTCGCTGTGAGTCAGGATCGACTTAAAAATATTTATTTAAAAAAGTTTGTTTCCTCTTTGTCTCCCCACCCGAGAACTTCACCTCTGTCTTGGTCACGACTGTGTCCCCAGCAGGACTGGCTACAGAATTTGCAGGGCTCAGGGCAAAAGGAAAATGTCAGGCCCGTTGTTCAAACATTATTAAGGATTTTAAGACAGCGACAGCAGAGCATAAACCAAGTGCTCGGCCCTTTGGAGCATGGGGCCGTGGGTAAATGTCACGGAGCTGGCCCTGATTCCCAGCATCTACAACAGGGCCTGGCACACAGAAGGTGCTCAATCAACGTTTGTTGGATGAATTAAAGAAACAGTCACTCTGGAGACAGAGATAGACTTGGCAGGAAGTGTCGAGGTACTAGAGGCTAAAAACCAAGCCCGTTGCTGTTGAGTGGATCCTAACTCGTGTTGACCCCAAGTGAGACAGAGTTGAACTGCTCCATAGGGTTTTCTTGGCTGTTATCTTCACAGAAGCAGATCGCCAGGCCTTTCTTCCACAGCACCACTGGGTAACCTCAAACCGCCAATCTTTAGGCTAATGTTGTTGGGTGCTATGGAGTCGGTTCCAACTCATGGCGACCCCTTGTGGCAGAGTAAAACTGCTCCATGGGGGGGGACGAATTACCCAATAAGCAAGGCATGCATGGGCTTAATTGTGCTTACTTATTAATCTGTAGTGTACAATTTCACCTAGGTTTCACCGCTAAAACCAAAAACCAAACCCATTGCCATCAAGTCGATTCCAACTCATAGCGACCCTATAGGACAGAGTAGAACTGCCCCATAGGGTTTCCAAAGAGCAGTTCGTGGATTTGAACTGCCAACCTTTTGGTTACAGCTGTAGGTCACCATACCTCTTAACCACTATGCCACCAGGGCTCCACAGATAGTAAATAAGCACAATTGAGCCCATGCGTACCTTGCTTACTGTGAGCCAATGCATACCATGCTTAGTGGGTTGATCTGCCCCTGTCCACAGGATTTTCTTGGCTGTAATCTTTATGGGGAGCCCTGGTGGCTCAGTGGTTAAACATTCAGCTGCTAACCAACAGGTCAGCAGTATGAATCCAACAGGCGGTCCCTGGAAACTCTACAGGGCAGTTCTACTCTGTCCTATAGGGTCGCTATGAGTCGACGGCAATTTTTTTTTTTATATATAGAGTTTAATCTCTACAGCTCTGGATGAGAGGGATTGACACAGTGGCTGCAACAATGGGCTCAAGCATAACAACGATTGTGAGGATGGGATGACGCAGGACCGGGCAGTGTTTCGTTCTGTTGCACACGGGGTCGCTATGAGTCGGAACCGACTCGACAGCACCTGACAACAACAACAACGGGTCTCTGGGTGGTGCAAACAGTTTGTGCTGACCTGCTAATCTAAAGGTTGGGGGTTCGAACCCACCCAGCAGCTCCTTGGGAGAAAGACTTGGCCATCTGCTTCGGTAAAGATCGTTATTGTTGCTGTTGCTAGGTGCTGTTGAGTCGGTTCTGACTCACAGCGACCCCGTGTACAACAGAAGGAAACACTGCCCGGTCCTGCGCCGTCCTCACAGTCGCTGTTATGCTTGAGCCCATTGCTGCAGCCACTGTGTCAGTCCATCTCGTGGAGGGTCTTCCTCTTTTTCGCTGACCCTCTACTTTACCAAGTATGATATCCTTCTCCAGGGACTGATCCCTGGGACCTAGGACTCTCTAAAAGCCTCAGTCTTCCGGCTTGTGGAGTTTTTCTACAAGCTGAAATAAGGGCAGGAGGCCGGTGGGAATGCAGTCACGAAGACACATAGATCCAGTTCACTCCCATTTCCTGGATGGAAAAACTGAGGCCCAGAGAGGAAGTAGCGTGATTCATTGGCGCCTTGAAGAAAGGGTCAGTGTGAGAGAGGAGGAACAGGGCAGAGAGGGCACACTGGGCAGGAGGGACGGGCCCCAGCAAAGGCGTGGAGGCAGGACTGCTGGCGGGAGAGGGGCCCCAGCAAAGGCGTGGAGGCAGGACTGCATGTGCTGGGAAAGGTGGAATGAAAGGTCTGGGGGTGACAATGAGGCAGGGCCTCGCAGTCACGGGGTGTTTGCTTTCTTCCCTTGGGGGAGCTGAACAAAAGCTGAACCTGACTCCGCTGCCTGCCAAGAAACTGGAGAGGGACAGGCGGAGGGAGGGGCGGAAAAATGCCCAGGCAGGGGGGTGCACAGCAAGCTCCCCACCCCGCACCTCAGGTCTCCCATCTGCTGCTCCATCCCAGCCCCGGGTCCTTCCCGCTCGCTCGCTCGGAGTACCCACTGTCCCCACCCTCCAGACACCCTCGGAGACCCCGACACTCACTCAGTTCCGAGGGGTGAAGACCTGCGAGCCACCCCCCAGCCCCGGCAGCCTTGATTTTGTGTCCTGAGCCCCGGGATAGCAAACATATCAAAACACAGCCACATTCTCAACAAGGTGTTCTAGCCGCGAAAACTTCTGAATATCATTCGCCTTTTGAAATTTAACTTTAAAATGACAAGGTTTGGTTGACCATTGGCTACTTCTTGGAAGTTCTTGGGGAAAGGAGAACCATCTAACTTAGGAATCGATTCCAAGCGGGATGAAAGATTTTAGGAAGTCTGGACAATAGGGACAGAGACTGATGTCAGGTTTCGTAGGCATTGAAGGAGTCACTTATTCCTCTCGTTTCCTTCCTCCTCGTTGTTTTCATGGTGACACAGCTCTGGAGGAAGGCAGGTGTCTCACGTCCTAGCTGGGCGACCTTGGACAAGTTTCTTAACCTCTCAGGGCCTCATTTCTTCATCTAGGAAATGGGGATAAGGAAAGCTCCTACCTCACAGGAGAGTTTAGTTCTCACAGGTGAGGATTAAATAACCCAGCAACTGCAAAGCACCTCAAAAGCTCTACGTGATGTTTGATAAGAAATAAATAAAAA